GAAACGCTCGTGACTGCTCACAGATGAATCCTCTGTTTTCTCTTTTCTTTCTTCTTTTTGGCTACGGAATTGGGAAATACTCCATCTTTTTACTGTTTATTTTCCCTCTTAGGATTATTACGATTAATTACAAATTAGAGAGAGAAAAAAAGTGTAACGTTACGGGATTTTATGAGGTGCTTTTCTTGTTTGTGGCTCTTTATGGGAAATAAATTAATTAAAAAAAGGTTTTAGCTTTTAGGTATGTGGAGCCGTGCTATATTATTTTTTATTTACCATATTTTAAACTTATTTATGTGAATGTGGTGGCCACTTGTGGGCCCAAAAGAGTACTTCTTTTTTGTAGAGCTCGTTTGTCCGTGTAAATAGTTTGACTATGGGAGAATTTAGAAACATTTTGGGAATAATGTAAGAAAAATAATAATTAAACTAGAAATAAATTGTTTTTTATTTTCTTGTTTGACTTAATATTTTCGAAGAGTGGTTAAATATCATTTTGTTTAAATTTGCAAACCAACAAATTTGAGATGCTGCGTGTAAGGGTGTGATTAATTGAATTGGCAGGTAAATTGAATTGAATTATAGTATTATATTGCTTTTCAAAGTATCAGAGCTGTATCTTTCTGATTTGTTTGGCTGCGTGGTACTATTATTCAACGTGTGGTGTATGAAATATTATTTTCGAGATAAATAATGTGCAACTTGTGATGGAACAATTTAGTATTTTGCCACCGCCCGTTTTAGGCAAGCCACAAACTCATCTGATATATTCTTTTTCTGAGTTGAATTCTCTTAATCTGACTGTGACAATGAAATTTAAAGCCCAGTTACTTCTGAATCTCTATTATTTGTGGCTATGTTTCTTTGAGAGACCATACTACCCTTATTTGGTTAAATGGTTAATCACTGCTGCGGTTGTTCTACATAGTCTGAAGAAGCGATATGAGCTTCTAGAGAACGATGTTTGGTTATGGTTGCGTAAGTAGATGAAAATTGTAAAAGAAAAATTAAAGTTTAAAATAAGGAGAAGGGTAGAAGTAAAGTAAGATTGAAATGGTTTGATTCTTTTTATCGTTGTTTCTTGTCTGGTTGAGAATGAAAATTACAACCAACTTTCCTCAAGAATAGTCAAATGATGCGGGTTCTTGCCACGTGAATCATAAAAAAATAAGATATGATATTTGCTTATTTTATCATTGAGAAGCTTATTCTCACATTGGTTTAAATTAAATTAATAAAATTAATTCTATACAATTTTAAATCAAATTAACATGGAGTCTAATGATGAACAGCATTTGAATTCCTACCAAAGAAACACAGATTTTGGTACCTTAGTTTTCGTATTCCTCGATTAGAAAAAAAAATTACTTTAGAAAAAATCAAATTGCTTGTCAGTTGTCACATGGATAACACCGGTAAGGGTTGATTGTAAGATGCATTTATATTTTAAGCCTTTTATCAAGACGCAAGTGCTTTAGCATATATGTTAAGGAATACTCAAATGTATTTTATAAAATATTTTCATTTATTGAAAAATCATAAAATAATCATATTTGTAATAAAATAATTTTCTATTAAAAACTTTCTCATTTATATTGTTTTCAACCAGACATTCATTAACATCCTCTCCCTCCGCAATAGGTTCTATAAAAAGTTTCAATCCAATTTTTAGTTGATAACTTTTTATTTTCACTTTCCCAAAAGGCCTAGGCTACCTTAGTCAATTGTCTTGAGTTATTGACTCGAGTTATTGACTCCCTCATCAATCAGAGTTAAGTGGCATGGTTCGATTCTAAGAACCAAAGACAATTCCTTTTCAGGTGAAGCACCTAAGTTCCAAAATAACATTCAGAATGCAAATTCTCCACTACTCAAAAGCATGGTTGAATACTTGAACAATAAGAGAAGTATACAGCAAATACCACTAACCAGGCTTTAGAGCATGTACACAACTTGACCTTATCAAATGCAGAGTGGGATCATATCTCCACTAATACACGATGCGTGAAGGCACTGAAAATTGATTTTTCCAACTTTTGATGCCTTCAACTTTCCAGGCGCTTTGCCATGTCGGCCCATACTTTTCAGTTTCTTTTGGTGTTGAAATTTCCGGAATATCTACAACCTTCCATAATGAACTTAACAATTTCTTTTCTTAATTACTCAAAATTATGATTAGTATAAATAAAACTTAATATTCTAAGTTCTATGAACATATCATATCTAACAAGTACAAGGATGAGTAATTTTTTAAAATGTCAATATATAGGAATAGATACTATAATACTTTATCTAAACTTTATTCACTATCATCCCTATTGTTTATTGATGCTGTAGGTGTTTCTATATAGAATATGATTAAACAAGCATATGTGGTAATTAGTGAATTTCTCATGCGAATAAAAATAATATTAAATTAAAGAGATAACATTTTTAAAATTAAAAAAAAATTGAAATTTTAAATTCAAATAAAAATATTCAATGTTAAATACAAAAAAAAAAACTGTATGATATAACAAAAATAATTTTAAAAAATATTCTTATTTTAAAGAATCCACATTTAATATATAAAAAAAGTAGTTTAAAAATGAAACAATGCTTTATATACATAATCTTGAACACAAAAATACGTAATATAGTGGTAGACAAACCTCAATGGGCAATGGTCATCTTTGGAACATGACCACTTGAAGCATGTATGTATGGTGATGGCATGGTTGGCGCAATAATTTGTTAACCAAAAGGTATTATTACTGCCTCATTTCATTAACATTCTCAATTTTAGTGACATATATGCATACATACACACACATCTCATGAATATTCTCTAATTTTACTCAATAGATACACTGAAATATAAGACTAAAGTTGACAAAAAGTAACGCTTTCTTTTATTTTCGAAATGGAAAATAATTTAAAATAAACTGAAATTTTAAATCCCATTTGTTTCTTAAAAAAAAAAGAGTATTATATATATATATATATATATATATATATATATATATATATTAATGGTAAATAACAGATCTCAAGATTGCAAAACCCTTCCAAAGGGTGCATTCCAATTGGAAAATTATAAAAGAAACAATACGGTGCCCATCCAAGAACGAATCATAATTTAGTTTAGGCAACTGAGGGATGAAATATCAATACTTATGTTTTAATAGGGACAGGATAATTATTTTAATGATACTGATATACTCCAAAGTTTAGAAATTAGATGATTCAACTTACGGATAACATCCACAAGCCTTAAATTATATTTAAAGGAAGAAGTAAATATTTAAAGACACAATAATTTTGTATATGTAAATTTTGTTCAGTCGTATATAATTGGACAAAGACACAGCAGTTGCAATAATCTATGTGACTGTCAAGAACCGAAAAGTTTGAATATGGCAAGCCCCAACTTAACAGTGATCACTATGATCTACCTCTTATAATAATTGTATTTTCTTTGCTCAATCATTTATTTATTTATTTATTTTCTGAGCTTCAGTCAATTAGTGCATTATTTGTACTTAGGACTTTATTCGTTTATCCCTATCGTATGGGAGGAAATTTAATTTCGTGTTTTGGTCAAAGTGAAAGAGGATAAACATGAAATTTTATATGTTATTTTAAACCAAAAAAATTCGAAGTGCCAACCCCACTCTTCATGCTTGGAATTCTGTATGTTATGTCAGGAGCGTTCATATTGGAACCCCCCCTCATATCATTATCCCCTTAAAAAGATTGATGTTATTCGGACACCAATCAATTTGTCAATTCAATAATTTTCCATAAAACTCACTGGGGAATCATACGAACTTACCATTGCAAAGTACATCAACTTCAATTCATCCAAGAACATTTTCAAAAGAAAAAATAAAACAAGAAAAATCTCCTAAAAATTGTGGTGTGTATGTTATTGGCGGTTTGCATGGCAGAGGCAACTAGTCATAAATACAAAAATGTGACGTGGCAACTAATCAGGTGGAAGCGTTACCCTTCTTAGCTTGAAGGAGGGGACAACTGGTGGATACCTCTGACTCAAATGTGTCATCTTTCAACATAAAAAAAATCACCAAATTAAGCCAATCATATGAAAGCAAAGTAAATATCTACCCAAAAATAAATGAGACACGTTACATGATTGAAAAAGGTTGAAATTTGTGAAGAGCGAAAGCGGAGGAGGCCCGTATGATGACAGGGACGAAACAATGAAGGGAAGAGAAAAAGGCATTTGAACCCATTTTCTCTTTGGCTTCTGTGTTTTGACTTTTGACTTGAAACTTTTGCTATTAAATGAGTACATATCTGGTTGAGTTTATTTTAAAAAAAATAGTCATTTTTATTAATTTAAGCAAGCTTATAAAAAATGGAGTTATCCCCTCAAATTTAACCTGAATCTAACATGCTATTCGAGAAACACGAGTATCGCTTTTCAGTCCCCCTGGAAGAAGGGAGAAAGAGGAAGGAGACATTATCAGGCTGGCAAAGTTCCAAAGCTTTTTAGGAGTTATTGGGTCAGTTTGTTCACCTACTGTCAGCCTTGCTTTATTTCTGTGATGATTGAAGCAACTTCACAATTACAATACTTGTAAATACGCGTTTCACTGGTCAAACGAAATATAAAATATTTTATATGTAAGATATAGATTTACTTAATGTAATTTTTTGCAGTTGTTTTCCTTAATCATAACCAAGTAACATTAAGATGAATATTCTTGGAATGAAAATGTTTGTATTATTTCAGGTTGATGAACAATTTATCCACTATATGCAGCTTTTTTGCAAACTTTCGGTCAGAATGCTCGCAATCACGGTCCAAAATAATTTTTGTATACTTTAATTTTAATACATTAGTACGACAAATAACTGCTTCATGGATTTCTTTACAAGTACAAGACACGACTTTCGAAGTATCCAGTAGCAATAGCGATGCTATTTTAAGTCTTCATAGAGAAAGTCCAATATCCAATAAAATAATCCTCAATTTAGTTCGCCTTAAGGTGATGAAGTAGAAAAATAAAACAAAAACAAAAAGTTGCAAGGGGAAAACTTAAAGTGACACGAAATAAAACTCTTCAAAATGCTCTGTCCGAGACTTGGTAGATTCTAACCATAAGACTACTGAATTACATTAGTATACTTCTATCTTCCATGAAAAATAAGGGTACACGTCTATCCAAATAATGTAAATGGAAGGACAAAACTATACCTCATTCTTTAGAAAAAAAAAAATTAAAAGAAGTTGAAACCTTCGTAAAAAATTAATGCAAAAGAAGTTGGAAAATTTGTCTTCATAACCAACAGCCACCCTTGCGTATGGAGCTTAAATGTACAGGGTTAAGAATTTCTTCGTTTCCAAAATTCGGAAGAGGCTTACTCTTAAGTTGTCAGAACAAACATGGTTAGAAGTCTATCGGATATTGGTATGCCTCACTTTTCGTGATATTGACCTTCCCATGCGAAGCCGTCTATTTGTGAGGGCTTCTAATAGGATTGTTAGAGCATGATCTACTGCTTCTGCCTGTTTATCCAATCCAACGGAACTAAACTGGGGAAGAAGTTGCAGCTCAGAGAGTAGGTCAGCAGCTGCTGCCGCTGTACACGTACGATCCCAAGCCGGTTGGGGCCTGCCCTTGAAATACAATAGATAGGTTTGGATTATATTAAACATGGCAAAACGTCTATCGCAAAGATGAGAGAGGAAAAAGCAAAAAGCAGCCACGGATAACATGCAGCACAGGTGTCAGTTTATCTTAATTTCACTTTATGACTCACCTAAGCTTATGCATAGCAGAAGCACCAGGATTTAGGGATATACAAGCAAGGTCCTCATCTCCCCAGATTGACTTTGCTTTATCCTGTTGAAAATAAAATTTCACACCATCAAGTTACAAATTCGAACAGAAAATTTGAAGATTGTGTTTCAACATAAATTAATTCATTTCATTAACTTTAAAAATATGTCTTTGGGATGATCCGATGGAATTTTCATAAAACATGAAAGCTTACTCTTCTCTGGTCCAAAAAGACGATGAAGACTATGTATCATCCATTAGCTCTTCAACAACAATGGTTTTCTCTTTAAGATTTCATCTCAGGAAAATTTTCTTAATAGGCAGTGTCAGTACATTGAATCTATAAAAGAAACTCAACCTTTAGTTAAATTCCATACTATGATTAACTGCTGTATAGTCTGCTACATTGACATTCTCATCCTAGGGCAACAAGGCATGATAAAATAAAGTTACATAATATTACCAACATCTCTGTTCCAATCACGTATCAAAAAGAAAAAGGCATTATGATGTTGCACTAGCACTTCTCTCAGCAAAAAGGACAAGTATCTGATCTTAACCAGTGCTAGTTTTTCTCAGCACTGTTAAAATTAAATTAAACTTTACCTTTTTCTCCAATATTTTGAATTACCAACTTGAATTTGTACCAGATGAACAATGTTCAATAATTATATTTTCACTTTTTCTTTGGCAGACATCACAGGTGCCCAACACAAATAGGACATACGGGATATTGGGTTGCTCAACTTACATTTGTAAGAGGACTAGAAGTCTAGAACATTTGAGTATACAACATAACGAGAATTTATCCTGCCTTAGCACCCCAACAATCATTGAGCAGGATAATTTTGTTCTGCTCAACTAGAATCATATTATGCAAATATACAACTTAAGGAAGAAGAAAGGAACCCAGAAGTAACCTGAAGACGCCTAAACATTGCTGCTGAATTGCTCCACGTCCCATCAATCAAAATAAAATGCAGAGTTGTATCTACTTTTAACTGCTCCATAATCAAAAAGAAAATTAATATCTGATTGCACCAAATGGAAAACTGGAAAATCTATATCATAATGTCAAAATCAGCAACAATAAATGATATTATTTTACATGTGCTACTGACTTGACATAAAATAAAAAATAAATTCTCATAGATTGAAAGGCTACTTGTAAGTTGTCATTGCAGATTTGCAGTGCCAATAAATCCATTTAATTTTGTAACTTTCCTCACACCTCTTAGCAATGTAATTCGGAGCTTGAATTATGAATTTGCTGTAGAATCTGTATTATGTAATAATAATTGAATGGACTCAAATAGTGCATATTGTTTCAGTGTATTCACACACCCAACTCTCAAGAATAGACAAAATCACTAGCATTATTTGTTAATCAACAAGTAAAAATACTGTGATAGTTAGTGTTTAAATAAAACCTTTGCTGGTGTGGCTTCATCATTTGCGACTGGTTCCTGACCAAATGCATCTTGAACTGATTTTAAAACTGCACTCTTGTTGGGATAAAGGCACCACACCTTACTCTTTCCTGAATTAAGGTAAATTTACAGCCAGATATTAAAACACAAAGAACAGGAAGATCCAACATGACAATGATGAACTATTAATTTAAATCATGCACCAGTATCTAAAGTGATGCCGGTGATCCAATTTAAAGTTTAAACATACTGCTACAATAAGGAACCATTCCAAATGAGGAAATATAACCATTTATCCATGTCTAAATTTGGCATAGAATGTTTTATTTCTTCGAGTATTTTTGAAGCCGCAAGAGTCAGCAACGTTAAACTCTCCAAGAAATATTAGACAGCAGAAATTGTAGATACACAAGAATATGAATTCTGAGGTTGAACTCTTGACTACATCAATAAACAACACCCACAGTCACAGTCGATTGATATAAACCAAGAGAGAGACCTGCCAGCTTAAAGGAATCCAGCATAATTTCTTCATGTTCAGGAACCCCAAAAAGGCACAAAGTTGCAGCACCAACGCCAAACACTTGCCACAAAAGCTTACCAGTGTTGTTCTGTCTCAAGAAATCCTACATTGGACAACCCAAAAAGTAAATGCACTGTGAGAAACAGACAAAAAACCAAAAAATAGAGAACCGTAACCAAATGACAAGCCGCACTAACTAAACCTTGGGATGCATATACAACCAAAACTTTATTCCTGGGAATAGCGAGCAGGACGCAATTTTTGAACACATACAATCCTCCATAGGAAGCCAGCACTACAAATAAATAAATGAAAAAAAATGAATGGCGTGTTTGAATCAACGTTAATAAGGATTAACTTGATTAGGAAGGGTTTTCAAACACACGTTAATAAGCAAAATCCATTAATCGCTCACTACAACTTTAAGAATAAACAAAGGAACCTTCTGGCAAAGGTAACCCCTGCTACCAAGTACGCGACAAGCTATCTGTCTAGCAGTATAAAATTGAAGCTTCATTTCGGAATCAGCCAAAGCCTGATAGGTTGCACGATGTTTCTTATCTTCCTGTATTCCAAAATTTCCCTAACCATTTAAGAACACAACGGAGTTATTAAACGAAAGACTAAGAAGGTGAATCCGGTAAATTGGTAAGGGTTACCTGCAACTTTCCGCCATTGCCGCCAAAACTCATTTGAGAATGGAAATCTTGTTCTAGAAGCTTGAGATCGTGAACGATTTGCGCAACCATGGTAGGAATTGGAGAGGTGGTGCCCCATCCCTGCCATTCCTCTAACGAGATAACCCCTTCAGCCATGTCCGTGTGAGTGTTGGAGAGTGGTGAATACGAATGGCAATGGCGCGTGAGAAGTGCGTGGGTTTTGTTCCAGCACCGGAATTGGAAGGGCCTTGTCCAAGGAACAGACGATACCGTCATGCCTTCATTCCTATTCTGCTTTACTTCGCCCAAGGATTTGTTCGGTTGTTCCTCACTCTGCACTATCGTAATGGGCCCAAAATTATGACTTGGCCCAAATAATACATTGCTTTTGATACTTTGCATCGCCATTTTTTTTACATATTATTCTTTTACTATGATTTAATTTTTAAAAGATCTTTTGTAAAATAAATTTTAAATTTCATAATAAAAATAATTGTGCGAATAGTTAAAAAGATGTGCAAATAACAATTCTTTATTTATATTGATACATTAATATTATCATAGAATAACGTAATAATTAATCAAAAATTAAAATTTTAATAAATACAGTTGTATTAAATGTTTGAAGAGATAATTTTATGGTATAGTAATTTTATCTGATTATTTTTAATAAAAGATGGTATATTTATATTAAATTTTACATTAATATAATGAAGTTATTTCTGATACATATATGTAAAGGATAGGGATGGTAATGGGTAAAGTACTCGATGGTCACCCGCAAAATTTATCCAAAATGGGTAGAATATTTACTCACTATACAGGTATGGATGTGGATAAAAACTCGCAAAATTTAATGTGGATGGGTGCAGGTATGGGTATGCATATATATATATAAACTTTATTCTACAATTATGCATTAAACTTTTATATTATTATATTACTTATATAAAATTATATAAGATTAATATAAAAATATATTTAATAATAAAGTAAACCAAAAAAATTATTTTGATTTATATTTTTAATAAAAAAATTTATTTACTATTTTATATCGTTTAATTAGGCTAATACAATTTAATTATTACATAGTTAATATGAGATTGAATTTTTTAAAATATTATTTATATATGACACATAAAATATTTTTTACACAAATATTTTTGTTAATAAAATCATATTGATATTTAAATCATAAAGTGAATGATAAATAATAAAAATATTATAAATATTTTATAAATTTTACGATCACCTGCTGTTACTGTAAATTTATTTTTTATTAATAATATTAAAATTATATTTTTCTATACAACATATATGTTACAATCACAACTATAATCTATTGAATTTAAACAATATTATTCTTACTATTTATTCACGTTCAAAAAAGTTTTTGAAAAGATATAAATATAAAAAATGATTGTTAATTTTTATTTGTTAATTTTTTTAAGATAAAAAAGTATAATTTTTTTAATATACACGTATATTTCTTTATTATAAAATTTCACTATAACTATTTATCTTTTATTCAAATTTTTTCTTTTAAAATTTATATACATTATAAATATTTAATTCATTAAAATAATTTTTTAAAACTTTATATTTTTGATAAAATACTTTTGTATAGTATATGAGTTAAAAATATTAGTATTAATATATATATATATATATATATATTATTTTAATTAAATCTATTATTTTTCTTACAATTTCAAATTCAAAAATTAAAAAAAATATTTTATATATCCACTTTCTGTTATTAGTATTAAACTTCTCTACTCTAATTCTATTCCCATTCTCAGTGTCTGTCTCATTGAAACTTAACAATTATGAAACGTTATTCATTAAATTTATAATCTTTAAATATTTGTTTTTTTATCTATGTTTGTACTTTATTCGATAACTACATATTAAATTTTTGTATTATTATATTATTCATGTGAAGTTATATAAATATATTTTTTTTATAAATATTTTTTTCTTAAATAAACACAAATAATGGGTACACGAGTACTTAAAGAATACAGATACGAGAATTAATATTCATATCCACGTAAATATAAAATTAAATATGAGTATTTTTTTAAAATACATATATAAAAATGAATACTATATTACACTATCTATACCCTACCTATTCTCATTAACAGTAAAGGAATTTATATGAGAGAACGGTGGACGGTTGGAAGCTTCCCCATAGAAGACTAGAAGTTCCTCCCTATAGAAGACTGTTGAATAGTCAAATGTTTAATTGCCGTCATATTCACAACTGATAGTTTCAGGACGATGATAATTTGGCATGAAAATTTCTTACAAATTTATAACTTTAATAATATATATATATATATATATATATATATAAATGTAGATACTTAAAAGATTATATTTCTTCTTCTTCTGTGCAGTGATTTTTGTTCTTGAAAAGTCACAAAATTAAATAACACTGAAGCCGAAATGGACCCGTTACTACGTTATTAACTATCAAAAGTATGAACATATGTTGACTTGTTGAGGTTGGTTTAGATAATTAAGAATTGGAGAGATGAGTTGACACTTGACACGACCAGGCCGCGTGACCGCACATGTTCCATCGTCGTTCCCACTAAACACGGTTTCAGAATTCAGATTATCATTTACACTTACAAGACCGCCATGTCATTAATTTATTGTTTTACTCGTTTCATTAACCTTTATTCCAGTATCCCTTGGCTTACCCAAAAACCCTTTTTTCTCTATGGTTTAGACTCTATTTATTTCCACAATCTGCAGAAAAAGTAAAAATAAACTACAGCAAAATTAACGAATGTGAACCCCCTTTAATTAAGTAGTTTACTGGAGTTTACAAATTAGTTGAAACGAAAATTTTTATTTTAATAACTTTTTGAAAATATTTTTTTTTTATTTCAACAGAACCCTGTTCGACACGATTCACAAACAAATACTAAGATTACGTGTGACACAAATAGTGTTAATGATAGCAGAATTTTCTTAAATGCTATTTAGTGTGAATAATCCAATCTACAATAATTGTTTAGGAAATATTGAATGGGTATAAAAGAAAGCAAAACCAATATTTTGTATAACTGCATGTGAAATACTAGCTTTGTTTTCTATTAAACTCGTTGAGTTTTTTTATTTTTAATGTATCCGTTGTATACAAGTACATTGTTTTGTAAATCAAAAAGTTAATGTAGTGATATAAAATTTTATTGTATTTGCATGTTTGTGATTGATTTATTTAGTAATAAGTCACGTATTAGAAATTTACCATGTGTGATTTAGGCTAACAGTAATTATAAATTGGGAGAAAAATAATCTTAAACTGTTTAAACTTACAAATATTACGTAACCTCTGACTTTAAAAAATATCATTTTGTTATACCTAACAAAAAAAAATCTTATAAGTGACACTAGCAATACGCCCCGTTTATATTTTTGGTGGGAGGAGGAAATAATGAGATATAAATGATAAAAAAAATTTTCATTTTAAAATATGATAATAATAAATTATAATTAAACTATACATAAATAATTAAAATTAAAAGTTAAACAGTAATAAATAATAACCACTTTTTTAAAAAAATTATATAAATAATAAAAAATCACATGAATCTTTATTTTCTGTTTATTGGGCAATGATTAAGTAATGTTTCAGTTCTTTTAGATTAAATTGAAGCACCATGCGTAAGCAATATTGTTTTAAGAACAATAAACACTAAATAATATTTGCTTGTGCTTAACAACAACGAGAGCGTGGATAAAGCAATTGGTTCTATCCATGAAATTATAGAAGCGATCGAAATGATTAAAAAAATAATAACAAAATAGAACTTTGTCGGTTTACGGTTAGGTAATTGGCACGATAACTAATCAAATCATTTATCAACGCTCTGTTTGGAGTGTGTTTATTTTATTTTGTGTACTGGATAAGCCAATCAATCATGTACATATATTCTTTAATCATTTATTTCACCGTTAAAAATAGTTATCTTGCCGGAACTAAGAGATTAAACATGCAGAAGTCTATTATAAGCGATACTCATATTTAAGAAAACGAGTATTTTCTATTGCGGATTAAATCAAACGTTTTCTTTAAAATAAAATAATTATAAAAAATATAAAACAATACTAAGTTATATTTAAAAACGAAATAAACATTTATGTTTATTTTTAATCATTGACCTTAAGATAGAAACTAATAGATTAAATCTTCACTTTAGTTCTTGATAGAGTTTAAGTTTAACATTTTAGTCTTGAAACATTTAAAATATCATATCTGTCCCTAACTTCTTTCTCTGTCATTTATTGTAGTATCTGACGTCTGACTCCGTTAAGAAACTGTGACAAAATATTGAGTTGTCATGTTAAGTGCTATATCAGAATTTCGTTTAGTAGAAACGACGTCATTTTTGAAAGTCAGCGTGACACTTTTAATTGTAAAACAATGTCGTTCTGATTTAATGACTCATTTGCCAAACATATCAGCATATATGTTATGCGCCTCTAGGCTTCTTTGTCCTTTAATTGTTATATACTAGAAGACACCTTCTCAAGAACACTTGCATAAGCCAACTTTGAAGTAGCACTAGCACTAGACCAAGCAGATTGCTCTGACTCAATAACACTTACCATTTTTTTCCTCATTGACTATACATTTAGATAATTACCACTATAACTGGAACTTTCCTACTCCTTACTATCTCATGAACTCTGAATATTCATCGCCATGCGATCTGCCACAGTGACCCTGGCCAAGAAAAAATTCTCAGTCCCAATAGAAATCTAAGACACTAGAACCACTTGCCTACCCAATGAACTCCCTCCCAATCCATACTCAAGCTTCACCTCAACACGAGAAGGTGAAGCACAAATGCTTTCATCAATAATTGTTCTCGTAAGGCAGAAATACCATCAAAAGACTTCCTTTCATCCTCATCAAAATTCCTGCCAATGGAGGCATGTGTGACAGAAAAGGGATTTTGTAATCATAATTCCTAGTTGTCGGTGATATATGCGGCCAAGACCAATGATCCAACTAGTTCATCAGGGTTCTCTATGTTGAAGGTCGATGATAATCAGAACGATTTGAAGTCTTCACAGTCTTGCAGAACACTAAAAAATGAGAAAAGTAGAACGTTACTAAGGGCTGATACATATATCTATCAATGAAAAAACCTCATCAAATAAATAGAAAACAAAAATAATGCACGATTAAAAGCCACTGATTTAATTTTTCTATTTTATTCGTTCCCAAAATATTGAACACTTAAGATTTTTCGTCTCAAAATAAAAAGTTGACTCAATGAATTAAGAATTTTTTTTTCCACTGAATTATCCATCTGTTG